AAAAAATTTTAATTATTGTTTATATAAATTATTAAATTTAGAGAGAATATTATTTTTTTTAATAATAGGACCATCTTCCGTGTTACTGTACAATGTGAGGTTTAAGTAATGGACTTGATTTCTGGGGTTCCACTTCTAGCTATCTTTTTGTCATTTTTCAGCAAACTAATTAATGGTTGTGGGCAAGAGAGTGTGTATACACATGAGATTGTATATTATAATTATAGTATTGTTATTCTATCCTTTTGTCATTTTTCAGCAAACTAATTAATGGTTGTGGGCAAAAAAATAATAATAATAATAATGGTTGTGGGCAAAAGAGTGTGATACACATGGGACTATATATTATAATTATAGTATTGTTATTCTATCCTTTTGTCATTTTTCAGCAAACTAATTAATGGTTGTGGGCAAAAAAAATAAAATAAAATAATGGTTGTGGGCAAAAGAGTGTGATACACATGGGACTATATATTATAATTATAGTATTGTTATTTATATATATATAAGTTAGTGAATATGAGTTGTGATTTTTTTAAAAAATTAAAATTTATATTTATATTAATATTTTAAAATTTAATTAATTTTTAAATTTAAATATTAATATTTAATAAAAATATATTTTTAAATTTAAAATTAAATTTAAATTAAATAAAAAATATAATTTAAAATTAAAACTTTAATTTTAAAAAAAATTAAAACTAATATATATTATTTTCATAGACATACAGACACAAACATAGACTTGGTGTATTGGTCAGTGGATGCCAAATATGACAAATCGGATAGTGGCCCGCACCCCGTAGCTTTCTACATGTTTATCTTTCCGTCACATCATTAGTGCTTTCATTGTCACCTGCCTTCGAAAAAGCAATGAAATTGCTATCACCAATAAGAAAACTTCCAAATTTACTACGATTGAGATGCCTATCTTTTTGTCCATGACTTTTGACCTTATTGAATGAGTGGAATGGAAAACAATGAGAGACGAGGTAATTTAATTCTTGGTAATTAGAGAAGTAATTTAATAGAATAAATTCTACACTACGTACTTCTTAACAACAATTCAATAGTAAAAATTACTATTAAAATTAGAGACTTATTCGATTAAGTATTTTGATCAAATAAATAAGAATTTTGAGTGAACAAGAAATAATTTA